AGATGATCTGATAATTGCTACCAATAATAACGAGATGCTGTTGTATGTGAAAGAAAAACTGAAAAACAAATTTAAAATGAGAGACTTGGGGATTTTGAGCTATTGCTTGGGGATTCAATTTTTTCAAGATAAAGACTCTAAGGAAGTCTTCATGAGCCAACACAAATATATATCAGACATGGTGGAAAAGTTCGCATTAAAAGATGCAAAAATTGCATTTACACCACTTGAACCCAAAATAAAACTAATCAAAGATGATGATTCTCCTAAGATGGACTCTACGTTATACCAATCGTTAATTGGTTCTTTAATGTATACGGCAATAGCTACTAGACCAGACATAATGTATGCCGTCAGTGCCTTAAGCTGTTTTAACAGTTTTCCGACAAAAACTCATTGGTTATCAGCGAAAAGAGTTTTACGTTACTTGAAGGGTACATCAAATCTATGTATACATTTTAAAGAATCTCACAAATCATTGCACGGATATGTTGATTCTGACTGGGGAGGAGATATTGACACTCGAATATCTCGTACCGGTTTTTTTTTTCAAATTATCAAATGGTGCTATATCCTGGGAGTCCCGAAAACAACAAAGTGTATCTATTTCAAGTACAGAAGCTGAATATGTAGCACTGGCTGAGTCAACAAGAGAAGCAGTGTATTTACGCCACCTATTAAGCGAGTTAGAGCAAATAAATTTAAGTGAAGCTACCACAATTTTTTGCGACAATCAAAGTGCTTCCAAGCTGGTTGTAAATCACGTTTATCATAATAGATCCAAGCACATAGACATACGTTACCATTATACTCGGCAAGCTTACCAAGAAGGTAAAATCGTCGTAAAATATTTATCAACATGTGATATGCCTGCTGACCTCCTAACAAAGAGTTTGTGTAAACCAAGCCATGATAAACATGTTTCAAACATGGGTTTAAAAGTCCAGATGATTCCCGTTGAGAGGGGGTGTTGAAACTCGATTGTTTTAATTCACCGAGAACATCCTATATAGCATTGTTAATCTAATTGTTAGTTTTTGACTTTGATAGATATATAATTTAATTTAAAAAGAATAAAGTTCAGTTAATTAGAAATCCTTATATTATTGAAGAAACGATCCCATCGGTGTGTATTTAAGTTGATCTGTAATAATTAATAATAAGAGTTATTGTGATTTACATATCCTTATATAAAATAAAAGGCAAAACAAAAATATATTTTGTGTATGTATTCAGGGAGTTTCTTTTATATCGTTTTAATTTAAAGACAATAATATTTTAAAAATTATGTCTAGATTTTTATCAACATTTTACATTTTTTTTTAAATAACTTTTAAAATATCTTTTAAACAATTTAAAATAAATATTGGCACATCATGTTAATCCTAAATTATCTACATAATCCTAAATAATAAAGTTGACTATTTAATTAATTTACGTAAAACAACTTTTAAAAATAGTAAGAAAACACAAATCTTAGTACCTAGTAGTAGAAAAGAAATTGACGCAGCTACACTTTTTTACTAAAATTTAAATTCGAATAAGGATCGATATTTTTTTATTATCATTATGTTTGGTTTACTAAATAACGTTAAAAAACTTAACCAAACTTAAGTGGATAATAAATAATATATGACTACAAACCATTAGATAAAGGTAATAGTATGAAACTAAACATTTTTTCATTTAAAATAAAATATCATTATGTAGCAAATATCCATTAGCTTCTTGACCAATTTTAAATTCAGTTTTATTGAAAAATTAAAAAATGTCCACATAGTTTATTTTACATTAAAAGGTTATTACCGATGCAATAGGTTTTTAGTTTTAACGAATTAAATTTGAATAATAAACGATTTAAGTAAACAAGCTTACATCATCATTACATAGCTGTTTTTTGTAATGATAATGTTGTTAAATGTTTAATTAAAGATGTATTAATGATGTTAACTATGCTTAAATATACACTATAATTATAATAGAACCTATAGGTTCTTATGGTTGTTTTCGGTGTTTTGGATCTTAAGGTAAAATTAAATGCAATAAAATATTCAGTAGTAATATCAAAAAAAGTGGGAATAAATTTAAAATAATGTGACAGAATTTTTTACATTATTATAATTTATTTTTAATCATAAATTTCCAAGAATAAAAATTAAAAATTAAACTTTTGTTTTATAAAAATAATTCAGGATATTTTTAAAATAATCTACTTCAATTTAAATCATAGGGTTTAAGGTTATTTTTAATAGTTTCTAAACTTACTCTAATAGTTTATTCTAGACCATTTTAAGAACCTTTTAGGACGGTTTTTGGTTATTTTAGATAGTTTGGTTTATTTTGGACAGTTTATATACAGCTTGGGTTTTAAGATAAGTTTACACCTTTTTATGCTTATACTGGTAAACATAACTAGAACTGTCTTAAATGTTCCAAAACTTTCAACAATGTCTTTTAAACATATAAATTATATATTTTTTCAAGCGTAGGTATTTCAATGTTCATAACACTCATAAGCCTATATAGAAAGACTTTATTTTTGTACTTAGTTCAAAAGTCAAATTATTATACACCGCCGTACAATAATAAAATTGCATTGAAATTACATTGAAAGAAAGGATCCATCAATAGCATTTAGCTTGAAATCAGTGCAGATAACTAAAAATTAGAGGTCACTATAGAATAAATTCATACACATAACCTATAATATTACATATGTCTAAGGTCAAACCTATGACAAAATGTAAGTAAGTACAGAATTATTAAACGCTTGAAAAAAATTGTATATACAACACGGCGTAGAAATCATATTAAGTGCCTAGCTCAGATCAGCGAACGCTGAGCTCTGCTTTAATAAGCGCTTTCTCCGCCTGTTAGATAATGTACTATTTAGACAGTTATAAAATTACCTAAATCATAATAACATAAATTGTAAACAGTTTTTGGTCATTTTTGATGCTTTATGTAAAACTGTTTTAGATAAATGTTGATTGATAATATAGGTATATGCATGTCTACATAGGTACATAAACTTAATTAGTTTCACATTTTGAGGTATTTTTCTAGCAAAAAGTAGTGCATTACTATTTTCCCTGATAGTACCCGTCGGTTACTGAGCGTTTGCCGATGTCCCGGTATAAACACCTGAAGGTCCAAAGTTATCCTTAATAATATAATTTATTGTTAGTTTTTATGTTATTGTTTTTAATAAAAGACAAACTTTTCATAATTTTATATTATCTTGTTAATAAATTATAAAATAAAAAATATTTAAAAAATATAATTTTTTAAAGATTTAAATATTAAAAAAAAACTCTTAACGGGGTAGCCTTATCTTACTTATTAACTTTTATTAATTAATATGCTTTTAAGAAAAGTATGAATGAAAGGCCTTAAAAAATGTATTTTCCATTTAAAATTTTAAGTACACGGAGGCAAATGTTAATATTAATAGATTTTGCTGAAATATGGAAAAAAAATTCTATTGAAATTTAAAAGGAATTTACCTTTACTATTTGGTGCCCCAATTATGTGACAACTTATTGGCGGCCTAAAAAATTAAATGACTCCTCGGCCATTCCACGCGTAACGGATGGGACAGTTGCAAGTTTTTATTTACAAAATCACATTGTTCTATTATATTACTAATCGTCACCCTAATATAATAAGGTTGTTTGTTAAAAAACCGAAAATTTTGAGTTTATGCTTCTACAAGGTTTTATGTAATGCACCCTTTACATACAACTTGAAAATAACTCTGTATATATGTATACATAGAATATACATTCTATAGAATTATTTTTAAGTGGTATGTGAAGCGTAGGCCACGTATAATCCTGTAGAAACATAGACTTAAATTTTTCGGTTTTTTTTTTAACATACAACCTTGTTATATTAGGGTGAAGTAATGTCAAATTTTTATAAATAGTTCCAAACAAAAGCTGTTTAACAAGGTTTTTATTTGGCAAAATTAGGTATCGTGGTTGACCGTTTAATTCCTTAAAAAATAATTTTTTTATTCAAAAACCCTACTAGTAACATTTATTCAACACTCATTTCATTTTTTACACAGGCTAAAGTTAGCTCTAAGTTAAATTTGGTAAAAAGTTAGGTTAAAACTAATTGTCAGCTGTTAGATGTCGGATAAAATATAAAATAGAGGTTATTTTAAATTCATTGTGGTTGTTAAATAAAATATTGTCTGCGAGGTCAAAAGAGGAGATCCACTTGCTTGTTACCTCACTCGCTACGCTTATGCGGAAAACTCCACACTCGAGGAATCCACTCTTTCTCCGACTAGTCTCACAATATACTACTATTTGGTATTAGGCATATTTTTTATTGTAGCGTGTTATAAAAATAAAATAAATGTATTTAATGTATTTAAATAAAATTCTCTTCTAAGAAGACATTATTGGTTCAATTATCGTAAAGAAAGTCAGGAAACTATACTTAATTTTTTATATTATTAAGAATAATCATAAATAATAATAATCATAAATATTAATTACCTTTATTCATAAATTTTGAAAAATGTAGGTAAGCATTTAAAAAAAAGTAATAATAAATTTGCCTGCTCGAACCTTAAAGTATTTTATCCAAAAAATTGTTGTTTTAATATTATTTGGTTTTGGATAAAATATTAGCAACATTTTTTATGAAGCATTTTTATTCTTAAAAATCCATTGTTTCCCAAACATTAAAAGCTGAAATGCGCCTGAAAATTAATTAACCATAAAAAGGTTTTATTAATTAGACTTAATGCATGCATGAATATCCATTACATCAAACGTTTCTACAGAAATAGCCTTATCTTTTACGTCAACTTGTATATCAGACTTTAAAAATACATTTAACACGACACGTTACATGTTCACATAAAGAAATATTGTATGGTTATTTAATATTTTATATTATTAATTCTACAGAGACACACAATACATTCATGTAACTAAAATATTTTGCAATTTTTGTAATAATATTTATTTTCATCTTTGCAGTTTCGAATTCGCATGATCCAGCTAATGGCAGTAAGTTTTTTATTCACCTTCAATTTTTTTAAACTTTAATTCAGCTGTTTTGTGTCAAAACTTCTTGTGTTGTTCGATATATCGATTTAACAAGTTTCCCGTTTCATTCAAATTTTTATTAACACGTTTTTTGACTATAAACCGCTGAAATCTTTTCACTTCTTTTTTAAACATTTTTTCGTTTGGTGTGTAAAAATGTTTTTTATGTTTTAGTTTAGAGTCTAACAAAGTACGTAATATTAATATTAAAATTAAAATTATAATGTAGGTACCTACTTTTATTTAAAATATCTGATTGAAAATCGAACCCTAAAAATTATATTAAGTTAATTATAAACGTAGGCTTTTTATTAAAAACCTATTTTAATCACTTAAAAATCCGATATGCATTATTAATTTTATAAGCTTAATTAAATATCTCTCAAAATTTAAAAAGTGGGTAGTAACAAAGATTCCCTTCTTTTTTTGAACCATTGTCTGTTCCCGTAATTATTTCTGTAAAATTGTTTGGAATAATGGTTTCCCAATTCGTAGGGTCAGCGACTACCTGATTTCAAACCCAGCCCCTATTGGCGGGCTCTAATTGGCGAGAATGTGAAGGGAACCTATAATTTTAGGTATGCCATTTTTACCTAAAATAAGGCTCCCCCATTACCAGCGCCAAGCTGACCTAATGCAAAAAAGAAATTGCTCTAAGCCAAATTTTATTAAAATTGTATCTTTTTGAAAGCTATTTGACTATTTTTTTTTTTTACTTAGGGTTGCGAAACACTTTTATGGGGTAATTTGGGTGTGCTAATTGCAAAAATGACCATCATTTTGCTTCATTAGCTTTTGTTTTTGCAAAATTGTAAAACAAACGTTTTTTCTTGATAAAAACCTAAAAATATTTTTAAAAACATACAATCCCTTAGAAAAAATATGCTGTCTAATTTAAATTCAGCGTACTTAAATAAGCCAAAAATTGCACCAAAAGAGAGAAAAAAGTTATAGAATAAAATAATAGCTAAACAACAGTCAGCTTTGGATTTATTGAAGGTCAAAAAGTATCTAACCCACACCAGTATTTTAGCATTCTTTTCTATTTCGACCAATAATTTGAATCTGTTGGAAATTTCCAAAATGTGTCTGGGTCCAACATAAAAAAAAATAAAATCCCAATCAGCAGTCGATAGATAATTGATTTTCTTTACTTTATTGTATCTCTTTTTATTTTATAGTTCTTCCAGCATATCCCTATAATATTGATGTGGTAATGCTATGTAAGCTACGTATAATATAAAATATCTAATGAATTGTTTACCTTAAAATCCAATTTCAAAGATTTTTGTTTTTTTACAATTTATCCTGATTAAAAATGTTTCAATCTTCTTGGTAATCTTCCCATGAGCGCTCATGCCAACATCTTGTAATTTTTTGCAAGTTGCGGCAAAGTATGATCACAAACAGAATGCCTAAAAAACATAGTAGAAAAAAATGAAACCATTTAGGCCGCATGAAGATGCATTTTCGTAGTCGAACCACCAAAAGCCGATGCCATTGAGCAACAACAACCAACTTCAATACGCTTAATTAGAGAGGTTGCGACCACGAACGCGTCTCATTGTTACCAACCGGTAAATAAACGTCTGCTGCCGCGGCACAAATTCGTTTTTGGTTCGCCGACCGGACAAAAAATCATCATCTTCTGTGCTGCCCAAATCGTGACGCAGCACAATAACGCGAAAAACATCGACAACAATTGCAACGTCTACAGTTTTACAAGGTCACGTCATATTTCGTGTGGTCCAATTTTTTAATTGTTTTAGTTCTCGGAAACTTCAATTTTTTATGTTTGCTCAAAAAATAAAACAATATCAGATTTGTTATTTAAATCAGGTGATGATGGTATATATGTACCCCAGAACCAAACTGTACACTGAAAGAAATATATACTAAAGTTAAATAAAAAAATAATTAGGGCAAATATATTTTATGTTTCATATATAGACTACCACATACATTGCTAAAACAAATATATTCGTTTGGTTAGCAGCCTATTGCTGCCCTAGCAATATAAATGGTGTTTCTAGCAATATTTTTTTGCTGTAATTCACTTATAGTTTACATTTTATAGTAAGGGTAAGTTTATTTTTATTTAGATCTAACATATCTTCTTTACAATAAATGTATTACAAAATTTACCATACATTCATAATAAACAGTAGTATAAATGTGTAAAGCACTAGTATAAAATTTTGTATTTACTTTTAGCAACAAATTTCTTTCAGTGTATAAAGTCCACTTTTTAATTTTTTTGCCTATACGTATCCGTTTTTCCGTCTTTCCAGTGGTAAATAGGATAAAGTCCGTTAAATTCTAGTCTTATATACCACAGGATCTCTCTTGTGCCTATAATAATTTATTTCAAGTCCAGATATAAATAAAATTATTAAATAATCTGAGAATTGTTTATGTGATTCGGAAAGGGAAATGGGACCTCTTCTGGCTTGGCTGTAATTGCAATAGAGGCAAAAACATTGTTCAGAGTCGGTCTGATTCATGATGAGACCTCATCTATATGCCTGAAGTCAATTATTATAGGTGGGGATAACGTTTAAATCGGTTTAAATCGGTTAAATTTAATTTAAGCTAGAAAAATGTTTATTAAAACCATCCCTTCTTTTGCCATATTAAAATGGTATATTGTTAAATAAAAAGGAACAAGGACACAAGTTATAGTGGCCATTATATAAACAAAAATGGTGATAGATCAAAATATAGTAACGAAGAAACTGGATGAAAATGTCGTTTAATGTGTATGTTTACATGTAAATATTTAGCAGGATTAACAAAGTTATAACGATTTTTGGTTTCAAATATTTGTTGTATTTTTTTCCAAATTTTAAATTTAATATTGTTAGGCTTGTAATTACGCAACTTTTCTCTAAATTAACGAACGCCAGTGACTCTTTAAATAAAAAAATACCCAATGTATGTATTACACATAGAAGGATACTTGAAGCACCCTGTATAAGTTTAAGTTTTAAATTGTGGATTTCGCAATTATATACAAAGCATGTGATTTATTTTTGCTGAAATTAAGTATAATTAAAATTGCCAGTCGCGGTAGTACTTGTTGGTCGACAATCAAAGTTGTGGCCATTAAGGGGGCTTTTTAAAAGGTTAATTTACTAGCGGCTTAAATATGACGGCAAAATAAAACAATTGCGAAAGATTTACAATGGGTATTCATATTTTTCTTTTTAGTTTGTTATGTCTGGCAATAAATTTGTAGTCACGAAAATAAGTTGAATAATAAAATTAAGTTAAGATTTCTCAACACTTTTGTTATAATATATATTATACCTATATATTTAAAATTAACAAAACTGTTTATTGAGTATTCCTACATTTTTTTAATTGTGAATAAAAGTCTTATAAAACCTGTCCAATCAAATTTAAAGCGTGATAAATAGCATTTATTTATCAAAGGATTTTACGAATGTTATGTTTGATGTTTTTCTTGAGTTTTTGAATAGTCTTAGGATGGTATTTGGTTTTAAAAAAACTTAAAAGTTTATATAAGTTAAGTTTTTAAAGGCCAATATTTATTTACAAATTCAAAATTGAGTAGCGCCCTGGCAAAATCAAAGAGAGAAACCCTGATCAGATTTTTCGGGAGAGCAAAAAAAAAACTGTTTTTAAATTAGGTACATTAAGGTTGTCCGGGCATGAGTTTTAGTGTTTCGATCGTGGTAGAACTGTATCTTATCCTACAGCATTAGATTTAAAATTCGTTGTCAACTACTTGCAACCAAAATTCATATGGGTATAAATTTGTAGGCGATTTTTTTATTATTTTGCAACGTAATTGCATTGTCAGTTCATGAGGCGTTGTTATAATAGTGTATGTGAATGAATAAAAATCTATAACATCGCTTTTAAAAATTTCGCCAATAACAGTCTCAACTCTTGACAACGTCGTATTCGCTGTCTCTTTCACCCTTACGCTTGCTACATACGTTCTCACTCACACCTATGTAGCACCGGGCGATAGCGTTCCTATCTGACGTCAGCGACGTTGCCCCGAATCTACAATGCAAGCGTCAAATTTAGAGAATTCACCGATTTAAACCTACCGACACGTCGCGACATGATCATTATTAACTTCGCGTATCATGTTTTGAGATTACGGTCCACGATATACTCATTTTTCATTGTAATCCTATCATTACCAATTATTATTTCGGATTTCGTTCTGCCACAAGAACCCGTGTATTTTAACTCAACTTTAAAATATATTTACTCGGCTCTTAACGACAAGAATTTTTATTAAATTAAACAGGATGATGTGAAGGATCATAAAGAATTTATTTGAACTTTTTTTCAAATTCTGATCATTTGACACTCACTCCAGGAGAACCTTAAATTCTTGCCTTATAAAGTTTTGGTCTTCCTAGCACGCCTGAACAAGACATTGTGATTTCAATACTTGCAGAAACTGGACATATTACATGTTTGTTGTTGATCGGACTCTACCAAGTCTATCAGTCTATCAGTCCTACCCTAACTCTAAAGGTAAAAAAATAGTGATTTGATAAAAATTCAAAACATTACATGAAAGAACAAAGTAAATACATCATAAAAGTTGACAAAAACTTCAAATCTTGTTTATAAGATAACGAAACAAAAAACGAAATACCTGTAAGTAAACCAGTAAAAATTTTTGACGTCCAAGGTCCTGTTTTCAATGTACAGTTAAAGTTGCAGTTACTTTTCTGGCAGATAATTTCCATGAATACCATTATTTTTAAAACGATCGATATAGAATTTAACTGTCAGATAGACTAACTGTAACTTTACCAGAGATTGATAAGCCGGCCCTAAATTAAGTATGCCATCTTAAGGTCACGTGACTGAATTGAGAGCTGTAATAGGTTGCTTGGACATGTTTGCCTCTGATTGGGTCAGTAGAGTAGACGTTTTTGGTTTTGATCAGACCTATTGTTTTTGGGTATGATTTAAAATAGTAATAGTGGTCCTTGACCACTTTTAGGGTGGTTCCAGGCGCAAATTATCACCCACTACACCAACCAGTGCCTAACTGAATTTTACTCCTTTTAAAATGTATTTTCTATGAACTGATGTTTAAAATATAAACTCTAATAATTTATCCAAGTTGTATGTTTTTTAACGTAAGAAAAATAGAAAGTGAGTTATTAAATTGTTACTGTAATAAATATGTTTTCTTTTGTTTTAGCAAATGGTGGTTTTGCACCGGGTATGGAACCTAAACGACAGCGTACTGCCTATACCCGCCATCAAATCCTGGAGCTGGAAAAGGAATTCCACTTTAACCGATACCTTACGAGGCGACGGCGGATAGAAATCGCTCACACTCTAGTCCTGTCCGAGAGACAAATAAAAATTTGGTTTCAAAACCGTAGGATGAAATGGAAGAAAGACAACAAACTGCCAAACACGAAAAACGTCCGCAGAAAAACGAACCCTGCCGGCGTGACGACGACGGTGGCTGGCAACAAAACCGGGGGCGGTAAGAGTAGGGGGCATAAAGGCGCCGCCGCCAGCAACAACAACGACAAACGAAAAAACAACAATCGAGATCTGGACGGGCTCGGCGAGAACATGTTGGATATGACGCTGAGCGGGCACCAGCTGCCGCCCCATTCGCACGCCCACCCCATGCAGACGTCCCTGCACCACGGCGGCATGATGCATCCGGACGCCGGGATGCACATAGGACAGCTGACGCCGCTTTCGGCGTCTCCCGGGTGCGGTCCCCTGCCCAACCCCCAGCCCGTTATTAAGTCCGATTATGGACTTACTGCGTTGTAATAGTGCCGCCGTCATAGCCGCCGCTCAATGCACTCAAAATGTACAGTTTTTGATGTAATTTTAAATGTGAGAATTTTTAAAAACGCCGACAATATACCTGTTATCAAAGATTGAATTGCGCCCACTGGTTTGGTTAAAAGGTTTGTGTTGGTGAATAAGGATTTTTGTTTCAAATGGTGGATTTTTAACGATTATGTAAGTAGACTATTATTTTCACGGACACTTAAAAGTTATTCTAAAAGCATTATTAATAATTCAATCTTTGAAGCCAACGAAAAAGTTAAACAATGTGAATTGAGATAATTACTAACAAACAAATTGTTAGTAATATATATAAATACTTGTGATTCATGTTATACACTAGCGGACATTATTTTAATAAAAATTATATGAAAACTAACTAATTTTTACACTATTTCTTGGATAAATGATTGTCGTCTTGTTCTGTAATTCAACTAAAAACCACGTAAGTAGACAGAATCGATTATATAAAAATGCAAATAGGTTTTTACAACATTATGGTTATTTTTCTACATTTCATCTACCAAAATTATAATTTTAATAATGGTTTTTAGTTAAATAAATTTTGTGCCATTTTTGAACTAGGGATTGTTTTATTGTTACCGTTTAAATTTTATTTTGTTAATTATTAAGATTTTAAATTCCCTACCTACCTTTAAAATATTTCATTTTTACCGATACTCTGTACTTGATAAATAAGGAATAATTTTATTATTCTTTTAAAAACTATCCATACTCAGGGTATAATTTAATTTATAAATAAAATAAAATATTTTGGTTGTTTTGTAAATATAATTTTTGTCTTAAATAAGTTTACTAGAATTATTTGTATATTTGTTTATTATGTGCATGTAATTTTGAGGTTATATATGCCCAGTGTGATCCTATGAGAGTAATTTCTGTAGTTATAGATTGTAAATATTAATATTAGAAATAAATATGTATACTTCTATTATTTATCAGTTTTATTCGTTATTTTAATAAGAAGAGTATTTACCCCTCTTTTCTTATGGTAATTACCTGTGTGGGTAAGTACAATTTATTTTATACCTATAAACATACCAAGGATATACATAAAATAGAAGCCAAACTTGACTGTGCAAAGAAATGTTGAATCAAATAATAATTTTTGCAGCCGTAATGCAAATAATGTATTTAACTGCTTAAGATCAAAATATTGTTAAAATTGACAACAAATAAAGAGACCATAGAATCCAATCCAAAAAATAATGTATTTTTATTGGATATGGGTTAATGTATGCCAAATTTAATTTTTTTTTTAAACATTAAAGAAAAATAATAATTTAAATTAAAGGAATTAAGACACAATTTGGGAAATTAAAATAAGTTTATATAACTTATAACTAAATGTTGTACCAATTCTTTTCTTTATTTATTTTTTAGATTATTTGGCCAGCTGATGATAGGCAATCTTAATTTTAAATTAATTAATCTTTAAAATATTTTTAAATATTTAAAAAAATTTAATTATCCCTCCTGGGCCACAAAGTCACTTATCTTTCAAACTGTCTTATAAAGCGATGAGTACTCCACGAGGAACAAAACCCGAAGAAACAATAATTTCTTAGTTTTTTATTTCAATTTGATTTTATAAATTTTTTAACATTTACCCATCGTTGTACAGTACAAGTTGTATACTACATTTAGCACCATTTCTGTGATCTAAACAATAATTATAAAATACCTAATGTTAATAATTTATCCTTTTATATTTAAAAGGATAATAAAAGGGAAAAACATAAAAAATAAATATAACTTTAACAAAAAAACTAAGCAAAATTCCACTAAAGATAATAAAAACGATTTATGATATAAATATGTATACATATTTATATGGGTATTAAATTTATGCATTTAAAAAAATTACTTCTACTTTTATATTTAAAGTTCATTATCTATAAAAAAAAGTTACCTATATGTATTTACATATTTATATAAAACCATTAAAAACTTGAAACAAAGCTTCAGCCCAAGACTTCTTGAATTTTTGTATTAAAGAAATATTTTAAATATTTGACTTTTAATAAGCCAGGATTTTAACTTTGTTAGACATGAGCAAGTTGGTGTGAAGAGACAAGTAGGTATATAGGAATATTAGTATCGAAAATAGTACATATTGTTCAATAAATATTTTTTGTTTTTTTATTCAAATGCAAGGCAAATGCAAGACCTAAATTTGAATTTGTTAATAACAACTTATTTCCAAAGTTCTTCGAACAGAAATATTTTGGAAATTTGTACTAAAAAGTGGGGACAGCTTCGATATTTTATGAGTAAGCAATTTTGTGTCTTTGGCAACTATTCCTTGACAGGAAAGAAGTAATTATAAAACTAACTGAAAAAATATAAAAATTTGTAAATGTGTCTTCTACGCATGTGGTGATTTATTTCAGAGTGCTAACATATAAACTTATAATTAAAGTAAGAGTTTAATATAAAAAGACAAGTCAAGATGAATTTTGTCTTTGATATGAGGGTATGCAATTATAATAGGTTTATCTGCATTAAAAAATATACAAAAAGTAATTAATAAAAAAGTATAATTTTGTAATTAATTGTTAAGATTCAAGAAAATATTTGATTTTAATTTTTGTATGTGTACAAAACAATACAAATATATTTATGTTTTGTTTTATTAACTTTAACTCTTATATTAGCTTACATAATATTTGGAAAAGTTTAAAAATCTTTCTGTTATGTTATTGTTATGTTTTTTTATTTTGTTAAACCCCCTAATAAAGTCTCCCCAAAAACAACATTGGAGCGTACTAAGAGGAATATGCAGTGCATATTCTTTTAGTACGCTTCATCGAAATGTTCTTTTTCAATTTATGTAGTAGTATAGAGAGTATATGGTCTTTAAGAGACATCCTTCAATCCATGACCGTTTTACGTTTTGAATTGAAGGGCTAAAAACACAAACAAAATTTCCAATAACTGCTATGAATAAATAAAGTTATACAAAATAAATTTATGATTAACAGATGTTGTGAACACTTTTTGAAACCAAAAAAATTTCTAGTGGTTAATTTTCAAAGGTTTGAATATACAAAAATTATTAACTGTTTCTATGAAAACTGTTTTAGTACCACCACTACGAAATCAAACTTTAAAGAAGATGCTGATATTTTTCTTCATAAAATTAACGCAACGACTACGAAAAGTTTCAGTTTCGTCAAGTTGTGTAATAACTATTTTAAACTTACCAATAAATACATAATTAAATATTTAAGTAGGTGAAGAAATGTAATTTCTCTGAACACAGAATTAAGAAGAAGAAAAAGTAGGTAGTACAATACTGTTTAAGTAATTTAACAAGATTAAAGGAGAACCACCAAAATGCAAAAGATAACATGGGAAATACTCCACGAATTGCATAAAGCATAAATGACATAAATTGGGAAAAAATTAAAAAAGGATAGCTGACTGGATAGAAAAAAAAGAGTTTTAACATAACCTAAAATTATTATTGCCATGTACCAATTTTAAATTAAAAAAGTAATAAATTGTTAACTTAATTATGAAAAAAAATATAATAGTGCTCTTTTAGTTCCACCCTTGCTTTTTAGAAGTCCCAGAAGCCAACTGAATGGTTTTTGCAGGTTAGGGGTAGAAATGGATAGCAGGCTTAAAGTCTCCTCCGAAGGACTAAATGTTACTATAAAATAAAATATTAATTATTTATATTTAGGATGCATTAGTTAGTCAAATGTTTTATCCTTTGACCGGCGGAGAAATTCTTTACAAATAATCGGTCTTCCCTGGGAATCCGCGTAGTGTGGAACTTCTTTTCTGACGTATTCCCAATAAAACTTCCCCGTGAGATTGTTTAAAGCTCTGGTGGTTTAAAGCCTACTAAGATATTGTGCCCACTTCCATAGTCTCAGCTATCCGGTGCTTTTGTGAAGCGCAGTAGCTGTTCCAGACTGGAACTTCCAGTGGAAGTGATTTGATTTATTTATTTCCTGCAAAATGGGTCATTTGCCATTCCCATTATGTGCACATACATGTAAAAGTGTTTTTAAAGGAAGGATGGCCTGTGAGAAGGCCTATTGATATCCTAAGTAAAGTCTTCATTGATTTTTGCTTTTCTGCTGATGGATCATCCCAGACCAAAAATACTTTTCCAGTATAGTTTGTGTTGTTGTTCAATCCAGTAGATTAGATTCTTTCTGCAGACCATGTTTCTCTACGGGCTTTACATCTGGGTTCTATCTATCTGACGCCTCAGACATTCTAGTACTGCCTTTGAATTATTTTCAAATGCCTCCAGTGCCTGGATTGGTGTTGGTTCATAAGCAATGATTGAGAGCATTTAAGATCGGATAATTGTTTAGTATACTTCTTGACTGCCCTATTGAAACACCTCCCTTATACCCGTTGATACACCGATATTTGTCCGAATGTGTTCGGCGTACTAGATTGGCTTTCATTCTTGCTCAAGTCTGGCTATCTGGTTATCTATCTCCCCAGACTTTATCCTTTTTAGGTTAAAGGCTTTATTTAAGTGTTTTTTCTTGGCTTTATCACTTCTAATGGATATACTGCCAGTATTTTGTCTCTTGCAATATGGCAGTATGTATGATGTTTGGGATGACTTTAGCCTTCATTTGTAAAATGTTTAGTAATGATTAATATACAGCCTGTACAATATTACAAAATAAGTTCTGGTTTAACAAATAATCACTGCTTAAGTTTTAGTACCTTTTCACAGTGTGAAGAACTAAATTTAAACATTTACTTTTCTCAGTTTAGAAAAATGTAAACTAAAAATAAAGAAATTATGACAAAATATAAAATTTGTAAAAGGTATAAAATTAAATTAAGTAATTATGTTAAAATGTTAAAACAATTTCTTATTTTTTAATTTTGATTTTGTTACTTAAACAAACTTTTAAAGATTTAACCAAGGTTGCCTCACAATTGGATTGTACGATTAAATTTATTAAAAGCCATATCTCTTGGATCTATGCATAATTATTATAGTTAAGTTTAATATGCCTTTAGACTTTTGAGGATTCAGGCCTTGTTAATATAATACATTAAAGTTTTAGCCAATATAAACTTTTAATTAAAGCAGAATTAGGTTTTTCTACTCCTATTACGGAATTTGACCTTTCTAATATCACTTTTATATATGAAATGACAAATATTCCGTAAAGTGTTACAGAATGCAATATTCTATTATCGGATGACAGAATAAACATTCGTGGCGACATCTCTGTTTTTAATATCTAACAAATTTTAGACCGATCCAACCTCACTTTCTTCCAATTAAATTATTTTTCTATGGTATTTTTGGAAACGTACAAAAAGTATAGTCTGAAACACGCTAGGAATTGCATATTGGCTCTCGGGAAACCGTCAAACTCGCGTTCGGCTCGTGTGACAAACTCTTCACTCGAGCGGAATATGCTCTATTCCCAACTTGTTACAGAATATTCTATTCTAGAACAAATGGTTTAATTTTAAACATTTTCTTGGAAGCAATAGTCGTTTACAATAAAACTACAAAAATAAAGGTACCTACCTAATGATTTATATGCAGTTTTTATTTTATATACTAGGTTGGTATAT